TCTAGTAGCGGACCAATGAGCTCACATGTCATGTGACATCGTTATTAGAGATTCAAGCTCACATATCATCGGATATTATTAGTATAGACTCAAGGTCGACTCATCTATTTTTTTCAATTTGCTAATATAGTAATATTAATGTGCCACATATGGCAATATTACTGTACTGGTTGTTCAATTTTTTAAAAAAAAAAGACTAACGAGTGAAAATGAGGTTGGACCTTTCCCTAATTAAAACGCTAATGGCTAAAAAATCATAATATATATATATATATATATATATATATATATATATATATATATATATATATATATATATATATATATATATATATATATATATATATATATATATATATATCACTCACTCTCTCACTCTCTCACAGAGACACACACGCACATGCTTTTATATATTTATATATATATATATATATATATATATATATATATATATATATATATATATATATATATATATATATATATATATATATATATATATATATATATATATATATATATATATATATATATATATATATATATATATATATATGTGAGCTGGAATTATGACCAATCATAAAAGGGAATCTAATCATCAAATCCAACGGCCAAGATCATGATTAGTGCTAGCTAGCTGCTCCATCCTTGTGTAAGGTACATAACCAATGAAAATGATACCAATTCCAATCAATCCACAATCACTCATATATGTATAGTGATTAGTGCACATGTATATTCTTTTAATTATTTTCTTTTCTCTTATATATATATTAAAATAATTATTGTCATATACGTGTATTGAATAAACTTGATTGTATTCAATAATCTCCTAATTACATGACAAATTTAAACTATATTGGACAAATTATGTGCAATAAATTCAACATTAAGAAACTGGACTTATTCTGCCTACACCTAATGAAATACAGTAATACACCATGTGTAATTTTACACCGACTTCTACATTCACCCACATGTGTATGTGTGCTTTTACCTGCAAATCTATGATGTGAGAGTACTTTATGCATTTCACCAAATATAGGATCTCAAAAACCGAAAAAACTGGTAAATCGAACTCGAATTATTAGATATCAATCTCGTTTTACTTCACCAACAATTAGACTACCATTTCAAGTTGTCACAGTAAGGAGTTGTTAGAGGGGAACAAGCAACATGCAATGTTAATAAAAATAATGTTTAGGTATAATCCTTTTCCAATTGCTATTTAAGTGCCACGTGTAAATATCCATACAAACGTTTAATCAGAAATCTTGAATTTCAACGTGGATATGATTGCAATTTGCTAATTCCCCAATTTTCGAAAATTTTATATCATAAATTGCTAATATAACCAAACAAGAAAAACCCCACATCGGATTTGATTGATCATGACAATTGGCCAAATGACATCAGACACGTGTATTAAAAAAATATTTATTTTGCCTTTTTCACCTCTTTAAAATATATTTTTATAGAATTTTAATGGTATTATATTCAAACTTATTCTAAAATATTAAATTAAAGGTCCTTGGTAGAGTAAGAACATTTCGCAATTAAAATATACGGTAAATTACAAACACCCCTGAGGTATGGCCAATTTACGGGAAAAAAACCCTCTTATTTGGATAATTACATCTACCCATCAATTATGATTTTTTCTTGTGATGCACTCTTATGGTGTCAAATTCAACCTAATCATCTAGATTTCGTGGAATGTGCTCTAGTTTGTACTCATTTTCTATAAAAATACAGTTTATGATGCACCACAATCTGATATATACAAGCCAAAAAACATATATTATGATCATCTTGCTTCAAAATGTGGAGTTCGAATGGGATAAAACGGGTACAAAAGTGATAATATTCCATATAATCTCGAAGATTTCACTAAATTTGAAACCGCAAGGGTGGACGTGTAAGAAGATTTATAGTTGTGAGGTTGGTTGTAATTACCCAAACAAGAGGGGGGTTTTGGTAATTTAACCATATAATTTACCCTAAAATATAAAAAGGCAGAAAAAAAAAACAAAATTAAAAAAAATTGAAGCCCTTATGTAAAATATATATTTTTTTCATCTTATATTAAAATTTTGGCAATAC